ATGTTCTGTTAACTTCCTCTGCTATCCCTACTAGGAAGATTCAAGCAGCAACAGTGACAAGGAAGAGGAGATCCATTTAAGACAGAAGGCTGGGTAAACCAAGTAATTTAGAAAGTAATATACATCTGCTACATCTAGGGAAACGGGCTTGCTCGTGATGCTGCTTGTGTTATGATTCAGTTTGAGAGGAAAAGGAAATGGTAAACCTGAAGAATTTTGGGCACTTAGTAGCGCACACAAAAAAAATTCTGGCTGACCTTGTTCAACAATCACATTTTCAACTTTCTGCTGTCCTGTGTAAGTAAACTCAAAAAGAAAAAAATTAAACATTCATCTGGAATACGGATGTTAACTTGTTAAAAGGATTGAAGTTCCCCCTCAGGTTTTGTGAATCCCAATGATATTAAGGATCAAGGGTCTTAGGATCAAGGATTAGCTCCTTTGTAGCAAACTAAGGAACAGAGAATATTTCCTCCCAGAAGAGTAGGTGAAGAAGGTTTGCAAAAGCCTTTCTTCACAGACAGAAATTTAGGTTTTAAGCTAACCTGACATAGTCACGTACACCCATGCTCCTTCCATAAATTATTTTCTTGAAATTTAGCTACCTAACTCTTCAAATTACTTTTTCAGTAATTCTCTCACTGAAATACTTACATTGCCTCATATTTTTTCACCTCTTGATACTGCGATCATTCCTGCTTGATCTAAACAGTATTCTGCTCCCCACTTCCCTTTCCCTTTCTCCCAGTTTCCTGAAGGCCACAACCCACTGGGTTCTGAAGAAACTTGAAGTTTCTTCCTTTCCTTTGAAATCATTGTCTTTTGCAAGTCTAGGATTTTTCACGTCCAAATTGTTGGTTTTCTCTCTCCTCCTATTTCTGGTTTACTATTACTAGTGTGCTTTCTATTTCATTTCTCCATCCATGCACTCCCATTATCCTTTGTGTGAAGTTTTACATGCCCTTGAAACAACCTTCTGCATCTGCTGTGCCAACCATTATGACCCTCTTCTCTCAAATCCATCCTGAACTCACACTGTTGCTTTTCACCTACCAGTGACCATTTCTCCATCTCATGGACCAGTAGATCCTTATCTCATCAAGGAAATAACAAAACCAGAAAAAAACATAAATTGAGACATGAGATTTACAAATGTTATTATCTGTTATCATTAAATACTAACTCTCCTGCACAGCATTACATGCCCCTCATATTTTCATTTTCCCTCTTTAAAAGGATGCAGGTCAGTAGGCATTGCCTTTCTTTTTCTTCTTTTGTTTTTGTTTCTAAAAATGATCAATTGGTGTTGATATCAAGGTTTACACTAGCACCATATCAAGGCCTTGAGCTGAAAGATCCCGAGGTCAGGAACTTTGTTGTGCTACATCCTTACTGAGATATATATTTCATTCAATATACAAATAATAGTAGCAGACTGAATGAAAAGACCTTCAGAGGTTAAACTTAACATTAGTAGGAAATCTGTGAAAACACAGGTGTTTTAACTACTGGTGTTTTTGTGCCAGCCATGACATATGGAGCAGACACCAAGGAGATGGAACTGAAGACTATTGTTAGAATGCATCAGTATCATCTTGCATTTTGAATACTGCAATCTAATTTACTAATCCAATTTACATCAGTATATACATGCTTATGTTTAAATATATGATGAAATAGCTGCGTATTTTTAAAAGATGACATATTTTTATTTACACTTAATTTTGCACTTCCCAGAATTTTTCTGTCTTTTCATATTGCCTTATGGTGTGTTGCTTGACTCCTGTTCTCTGTAAGTGTGAAAAGTCAGGAGGAGAGTTCACAGCAGGTTGATGGCCTGGAGATTAAAAGTCTGTCTAAGGACATTTCAAAGTTGTAAAGGTACTATTCTCACATGTACTTATTTCTTGGTGGGTGTGAACAACAGCTACTCACCAAGCTGGTGTAGTGTGAAATAGTTTCCTGTGAAATGATGTGCAGACATATGCAGAAAGCCACATGTACAGCACATGCACAGACTCATCCCTGACTTATGATTAGTGAGATTCTTGCTGATAACTGAGTTAGGAATGACCAGTGGGGCACCCAATGTTTTAATTACCCAGACAACCATGTGGATTTTCCACATTTACCAGACTAAAATCATGATCCTGCCCTGATGCTTTGAGATTAACACACTGGAAATGACCTTGACTTCTCAGCGGTAGTTCTCTATTACTAGGCCAACTGCAGACTGAGATTTTGCTATGTACATGGATATTCTCTATACATTCCTTTGTTTGTCAATGTCTGGGATAAATTTTTCCCATGCCCCACAAGAGTAAGTTTTACTCTACTAAATACTAAAAGTCATTCTTAGTCAACCTAAATATGTCAACTAAATTAAAGGAAAGGAAGTTGTCTTTCAAGCAATTTTCAAAACCTAGGCAATAATTTGGTATCCTGTTGTTACAGGGATGATTATATAATATAGTAGAAATGCTACTGCTAATAATTTGGTTTTATTTTTTTAAGAGAGTGAATAGGGCAGAGAGTAAGTGGATCCAAGGCTTTTGACAAAGTCTGCTCAATCACAGATGCCCAGTGTGACTGTGACCAGAATGAGGGGCCTTTTCAACATTCACAAAAGTGAGCTCTTCCTGCCCTACTGCTGTACGCCAGCACAGCCACACCTTTCTGGTGGGCCAAAAATTAGTGTGATACATGCCAGAAATGACAATAAGAAATGAAAAGGCCATATGGAGCCATTGCTGCCTGCCAGTCATTGCAGTAGGTGGCAACTGGGACAGGAGACGTATTGGAAAGGGCTCCATGCATTAGGGTACTGAAAGAGTAATGCAAAACCTGGATATGATTCCTGGCAAAATTTGAATTATTTTCCCCTTCGTGTTACTTTGCTCAGTTGTGTCATATTTATTATGCTAATAACCTCATATTAAGGATACTGAGTTTTGGGCTGGAAACAGAACTTGGTTTTTCCACAACTGCTATGATGAAAATTTTCTTGGAATAACATTTAGTGGATATTTACTAATCTATGCATATACTTCAGTTACCTGAAAGTCAGACAGTGAATCACAAATAATTGTGTATACTTCCTCTGAAGTCACTGAAGAGAGCTAGTTGACTCCAGGAGGGGAATCCTTCTATTTTAACAGGAGCATATTGGGTAAGTCATACTTCGGTGGTGCTCAACTCATTCTAAAGTACTTGTCCTAGAGACCAGATGAAACATGCCTTGGAAAAGCTGGATTTTCTCCAATTACTAGAGTGACTGATTATACATGGCTAATGCTCAGATGAGATTTATCCAATTCCTGGTAAATACTTTCTAATCAGGAACTTAGGGGGATGTCTCAGTATTGTGAGGTCTGTTCAGATCATTCCTGTTTGTTAAGCATAAAGAATAAATTCAGAAATGCAGTGTAGGAACTAAAGAAATTTAAATGGAAAAATGTATTGCGTATGAATTTGTATTTTGAACTCAAAATACTCATAGACACGTTTCATAGTTTTGTTACTTTCATAACAATACCTTGTCTTACACTGAATGTACAAATAATCTTTGATTTTGATTGCTAGTATACATCTGTGATGCTGCTTTGCAGTGCAGTTGCCAGCTTTCTTTATTTTATGGGCTAGAATCTTAATTAATCTTTTCTTATTTAAGGAATAATTTTCGTTAAGATTTTCTGCATATTGCCCCTCCCCATCTTTCTCTGCCTTCTCATATCTGATCCCCTTCCTTTCATAAGCAGAAAATTAAAATAAAAGTTTCACAACTGTTGTCTTGAATACTAAAGGGTTTAACCGTAACTTCTGTGTCAGTTAGCATGTCAAATACATATGCTTCTACATACTAACACATATGTGATGAAAATCAAAGCTCAGAGCTTTAGTTGTTTCCTCAAGTACCTGGTGAGGCCATTCTTCAAGATTTGATGCAGGAAGACCTCTGTGCATAAAGCAAATCAGAAGTAATTTCAGTCTACATGATTTTACCCTACATGAGTACTGTGCTGTTCCACACTTGCTTGCCAGATGTCCCACCTCACACTCTAACCTCACACCTTGTCCTGTGCAGATCAACCTCTGCAGAACAAGCTAAGAGCCTCTACATTTTAGGAGATCACTCTGAGAGGAAAGAACTGTGCAATTTGAATAAGGCTGCCAGCCTGTGATCCTAAAAAGAAACTGTTCTTGTTTGTTCAGCTGTAGCCTAGATTAAGCCAAGGAAGATACAAACCAAGAGGGAAGACTGAAGTTCTTACATGACATTCAACAATCTCTGGGTGAATAGCCCAATCCATACTGGTCATTAGCACTTTATAAGACAAAAGAATCAGACTGTAAGCAAGGCAAACATGTCTCAGAATAAAGCTTATGCTGGAAACATTTCCAGGAGGAATATTTAGTCATCACGTGACTCAGATAAAACAACTGCTTATAGCATAAATGGCTATTTTTCATTTTAAAGGTATATTAAGGTGTTAACTTTTGTTAAATATTTATTGGCACCCATGCAGTCTTTTATCATTCCATCTATTTTGCATGTTTGTTTGCTCATGAGAAGAATTTCCATAAAGAAAAACAGAAAGAAAAGGTAAAAACATACCATTTGGTGAAATTATCATTAAACATGATTGTAATTATCTGGGATCAGGAACCATTCTCATGAAAACATTAATCCCAGAGGTGTTTATCATGACTCATGTGTTCTCACCATGGTCTCACTATGGAGCTGCATGTCCAGACGTCTCTGATAGATCTCCCTCTCTCGAAAAGAGAGGGTTTTGTATTATTTTCTTGCTTCATATTCAGTCTTTTTTTTTATTTCAAGCATTAACAGTGAGTAATTTGGCTTCATCTTCCTCCTAACTGCAACAAACTTTGTGGACATGAACAGATAGGCAGATTGTTACATTATAAACACCATTTTCATTTGTTTCACAGTGACTCAAGAAAAGGGTGATGTTCCTGATTTTTAAAAGAAATTCTATTGTAAGTGTGGGGGCACGGCTTTCCCTTTCCAGCAACTTGAGTCTCTGTAGACTCATAAAAAGTCATAGAACATTTTAGGAAGGAAATTAATTCAAAAGGCCACTGCTTCCTGGTATCTCATTTCAGTTTTCCTCATTATGACTTGTGCCTGTTGCCCATGTGCTGCTGCTGTGCACTGCTAAGATCTGCTTTCCAGACTGCCTGTGTCTGGAGTTCTCTGTTGAATGGGTGCAGTGCTGACTGGTCCACAGCTGTTTGTGCACTTGTCTCATCTCACAAAATGCATGAAGAATTTCTCCATTTGGAGAAGGAAGCGAACATGTTAATTTCCCTTCTACTATTTCTCACTTTCATAGCTTGCTACAAGAAAAGACTAATGCAGAGGAAACACAAAATCCTTATACATACATACATACATACATATATACATATTCATACCACAGAACCTTCAGTAAATCTGTTGTTTGAATTCCTCATTATTGAAAACTTTTCTTCCAAGGAACCCTTTATTTTCCTGTTCAAAGTTAGTGGGAATTTAAGACACAGTTTCAGACAAATTCAATAAAATGTTGTATTACTCTGTGTGAAAATTTTACAATTACCAGACAGGTATAGCCTTGCATGCTTTGGATTGGTTGAAACACAGAGTGAGAAGCATGTTTCTTCTACACTGTTAGGCTTTGAATAAATAATTAAGAGATCATTGTCTTAGTACCTCTTTCCGATGCTTTCTACATTATGAGTAAAAGCTATTCTCAGAAGCAGTCTACTCAATCAAAAGGTCCTGTGGAATATCTCAGACTGTGAGCACATCTGCAGAAACTTCTTCTGTACCTGGTTCCTAAAAAGTGAAATAAAAAGAGAGAAGATGGAGAGAAGAGGAGAGAGAATGAAATGTAGTAGTAATTATCTACTTTCTGAAAATCACATCTAAATTACGGGTGCAGGATTCTACTCAAGCAACCCCAGCATTGTTTTAATTTTAATTATTTTACAATTTATATTTTTCTAATAGATTTCTAATTGATCAATTTCTACATATACATTTGTGTCTTATTGTATGTAAACAGTTGCACTGACAAAAAAATTTAGTTCTACTATCTGTAGAGAACAGAAAATTAGGTCCTGAAGAGAGTCAGCTCATCATTATGGAATTAGATTAAGTCTATTGATTAAACCTTCATTCTGTGGTTGGGCTTTTTTGAAGGCATGAAATAGTCTCATTTAGTTACATTACAGCAGTAAGGGGAAGAATATTTAAGGGAAATGGAATTGCCCGTTCTATCTAAAACAATTGCAATATACATTTTACAGAATAACAATAATAATTTTAAAAAACAGTTGCACAATTAAAAACTAGGAGGAATATTTTTCTGTGATGTGTTGGTGATAAGAATTTTAAAAGTAACATTTGACTGACTTCTCTGATTTCTACGTGAGGTCTTGTGCCAATCCTACCTTGCTGACACCATGGTCATTTGAAGGACAGGAAGATCTGGTGTTCATAGGTCTTTCATCGTTCCCATGCATTACAGTGTGCTGAGTCTGTGGATGACACTGCAAACAGACTCCTCTTAGCATCTCTTTTGCTTTTCTCCCCACAACCCTTCCTCCCTCTCTAACACTGTTACTGCATCTTCCTCCCTTCCTTATTTTCACAGGGAAAGCTGAGGATTTAAAATGGGTGTCAAATATTTATTGTCCAACTGAGAACTGGAAGAGAAGCACATGCTTTTACCTGAATAACTCTTTCTAACAATCCCTCTGGTTCTTAAAGTCAAAAGGTGATCCTTTTGTGGACAGTTCATATCAATAATTCAGGTAACAAGTAAAATGTGTTGCTAGTAAAACGTGCAGTTCTGTGTTATCTGCTGGCTAATGCCATGTAGTGCAGAAAGACATTTTCCTTACAACTTTGCTGCTGTGGCTGACTTACAAATAACTTTGTTGTGTGGTCCTGGATGTGGAATGGAGAATGCTAGCTGACCTAACCTGCTTCATCAGGCTAAACTTCCACCAGTGATTAGAATAGAACCAATATACCCAGTCCCATTTGTGACGAATGGAAAATTTGGACCCAGGTCCTCCAGAAGCGCAAAGATACTTTTCACCAACAACAGCAATTAGGACCTTTCTTCCATCATTTCATTGCTTAGCCATGTGTTGGTCTGTGTCAACACAGATTGACAAAGTCATAGAATTTTATGGGACAATGTGAAAACTCATTTGCAAATTTTATTGCAGTCCATCATTGCCTGCATTCACAGCGCAGAGGTCTTCCATTGTTGTGAATAACAACTGGGAACAATTTCTGGCTATGGTCAATATAGGGGTTGCAGTCTTCCACCGACAGGTGTTCTTTCTTAATTGCTTCCATTAGTTTCCCTTTATTGCAGGGCTTCATCACCCGATGAATGTAGTGTTTCAACAAATACCAGACTAGATCTATCAGCTACAGTATGTGACATTTTAATCAACGTACACTCATGGAGCCCAATCTTAGTAAAACACTCTAGTCAAACTTGCATTACTTATTTCCTAATAAAATAGTTATTATCCCAAATGCAATATTTTACATTAAAAAAATTTATTAGTGCAGAATTGTAGGCAAATGCAAGTACTTGCCTACATTTGCATTACAAATACTGTGGTCAGCAGGACCAGGGCAGTGATTGTTTCCCTGTACTCAGCACTCTCCCTGTACTCTGCAGTGCTGAGTACACCACGTTTGAGACCCCACTCCAAATCCTGTGTTCAGCCCACCCCAATCTTGGGCCCCTCACTACAAGAAAGACACTGAGACAGTGGAGCATACCCAGAGAAGGGCAAGGGAGTTGGTGAAGGGTCTAGAGAACAAGTCCTGTGAGGAGCAGCTTGAGAGAGCTGGGGTTGTTCAGCCTGGAGAAAAGGAGGCTCAGTGGGACAATATTGCTCTCTACAACTACCTGAAAGGAGGTTGCAGTGAGATGGGGATTGGTCTCTTGTCTCAAGTAACAAGAGATAGGACAAGAAGAAATGGCCTCAAGTTGTACCAGAGAAGGATTGGATTGGTTATTATGGAAAATTTCTTCACTGAAAGGATATTCAGGCATTGGAATAAGCTGCCTATAGAAGTGGTGGAGTCACCATCCCTGTAGGTGTTTACATGGTTTAGTGGTGGACTTGGCGTTGTCAGGATAATGGTTGGACTCAATGAACTTAAAGCTCTTTTTCAACTAAAATGATTCTATGATTCTATGATTTGTAAATATGCTGACAAGAGAAGGCATGATTCCCACAGGAAGTAATAAAACTGACCTGGTAATCTCATTGCATCATAAAGCTTGATTTCATTCTAGATCAAGAACCTTGTTGTGCATCACATCTTTGTCTACTTTGAATAAGAACCACATGTATTTTATCAAAAAAGAAGAGTTCTTCAAAAAGAAGAGCTGAACATGAGCCAGCAGTGTGCCCAGGTGGCCAAGAAGGCCAATGGCATCCTGGCTTGTATCAGGAACAGTGTGGCCAGCAGGAGCAGGGAAGTGATTCTTCCACTGTACTCAGTGCCAGTGAGGCCACACCTGGAGTGCTGTGTCCAGTTCTGGGCCCCTCAGTTCAGGAAGGACATTGAGGTGCTGGAGCAGGTCCAGAGAAGAGCAACCAGGCTGGTGAAGGGACTTGAGCACAAATCCTATGAGGAGAGGCTGAGGGAGCTGAGGTTGTTTAGTCTGGAGAAGAGAAGGCTCAGGGGTGACCTCATCACTCTCTACAACTCCCTGAGAGGAGGTTGTAGCCAGGTGGGCGTCGGTCTCTTCTCCCAGGCAATCAGCAGTAGGACAAGAGGGCACAGGCTTAAGCTCTGCCAGAGGAGGTTTAGGTTGAATATTAGGAAGAAATTTTTTACAGAGAGAGTGATCAGACGTTGGAATGGGCTGCCCAGAGAGGTGATGGATTCTCCATCCCTGGAGGTTTTTAAGATGAGACTGGATGTGGCACTGACTGCCATGGTCCAGTAACCACGGCAGTGTTGGATCAAGGGTTGGACTTGATCTCAGAGGTCTTTTTGCAACCTGGTTGATTCTATGATTCTATGATTTTGACTCCTCTTTCTTTTCATACTCACTGAAGTATTAGTGCAGATATCAGTACAAAATGGATTTTTGCTTGTGTCTTGCATTCTGGATTATCTGAATTTTATGGCATTGCATGGAGGTAAATTAGGAACAGAATATGCCTTTCAGCCCTTTTTCTGTTTGTAGTGATACTCAAACCAGAAAGAATATAACTTTTTCTTTTCAGGTCTATGATTACATTTGCAGAAATTGTATTTATAAATAGCAACAAATGCCCAGTGCCTTCTTACTTAGGAACTAAAGAAATTCAGTTGAGAATTCTAGAAGATAAAAAGCCCAGAGAACCACTGTATATCTTTTATCATATTTCTGCAGAACAGAGTGTCGTTTGGCCAAAATCACAATTACATAACTCCATAACTGCAAGGAATTTCTTCAGAAGTACCTTTCTGCTATGCGATTACTTTAAAAATACTTTTTAATGCCAATTTTCCATTAAAAGTAAAGAGCTGGTTTTGAGTGATTCCATTGTACCTTCAAAGACAAATGTCTCTAAAAGCAAAGAGGTTTTTTTTGTAAATAAATTGTTCTTCATCATTCTCTTTTTTCATTCATTCTCTCCCTGTCTCTCTTTCTCTCCATGGTAACACAGAAGTTGATAATAATGTATGATACTTGCTAGCAGAAGGATTCAGAAGGGAGAAGCATAAAGTGCAAGAAATGTAGAAACCTGTGCCCAGAGCTGCACATTAGCTTTCAAACTTCTGCAGACTTTAACCTTTTTTCTGCTCTATTCACATTTGGCTCATTCTCCAAAAGGGGTGGGTCTCATTGGTTTTATCTGTCATTTGCTTTACCCTTCTTCCCTTCCTTTTATTGCTTCCTCAAAGTGCAACACAATTCCTCAGGCTTTCCTGCTGAATGTTTCCGTACTAACCATGAGAGGAGAGAATCACACAGCTGCTGCTACCCTGATCTCAAAAGCAAACTCAGTACAGTCAATACCGATGAAGCTTTGCAAGTGGAAATGGAATGAATTAGCAGCAAAACCGTGAAAACAGCAGCCAGTTTCCATTTTGCAAGTGGATTTTTTAGGATAAACCAAAATTTCTCTGGATGAAGTTCCTATGGGTCATGTATTGGTTTTCTGGCAAACTCCCAGATGACCTTCCATTGGCATACTTGTTTTCCTCTGCCTAGACCATACTGTCTTGATGGGAGAATTCTTTGCACAGGAACAGCCAGAAATTAGCTTTTTCAATCAATGTCATTTTGTCTCTTTGCTTTAGACACCAAATAACAGAATGAAAGACCTTTCAGACCTTTCATTTGTTTCAGTTAGAGTGTATAGAAGTGATCCAAAATCCCCACTGGCTGATGCCCTTCCCTGCTACCTGATGTAAACAGAATGTCTCAGTCATCCTGCTATTACTATACTTGTACATTTCTGACATGTTCTTTGTACCTCAGCATCTCACCACTGTGTTGACAAAATGAAAGGCCAAATTAGTCTGGAGGAGTCATAAAACACAGTTCATATATTCTCACTACAGCACTGAATTCAAATATACCTATTTTTCCATTGGTATCGAAGAAACAATGCAAAGATCATCATGATTATATGAATTTGCAACATTTTTTACACACACACTCCCATACATACACACATACACTCTCTCCTCTGTTTTTTGGGCATGCATCCAACAGAACAATATGTGTCACTGAAGTTTAGAGCCATTCGCTTAATCCTACCTTCTGGCAGTCTCACCCATGAATCACAGACAGTTACTGATGGGATAGATAGATCCTCCAGAGTGTAAACTCCTGCATCAAACTTGTTCTTCTTTAAACTAGCTGGCAGAGACAATGATTTTCTGGCAAAAAAACGTTAGGTGTTGAAATATTCATAATTAGAAAATGGGGCATTTGTACACATTTTGGAGGACAACTTTGTTAAAATGTTGCACTGCAACATTTTCCAGTCCAGTGTATTTCTATTTTTGGTACCAAAACCAGCTTTTCAAAAACGAATCTTCATTTCAGCTAGTGAAATCAATTATTCATGGACTTTTATTGCATAGTGAAGTTGTCTGGCTGTTTGGGCCCAGTGCTTGTAAGCTCATCTGCCTCTGTTCATATTTTAGTTTTTGCTGATTTGCTTCCACAGATCTGTGTTTCTTAGAAGGAACACATTTTGAGAACAAAGGGTTGTTTACTGCAAAGAGTTAAAACAGCAAACAAAGCCAACCTAGGGGGTTGCATACCACACTGCCCTTCCCTGTTCAAAAGAAAGGGATGAAAGATGCCTTTGGGGGAACTGCTGGCTTGCATGGGTGTAGACTGGGTGAATATAAAGTATTTTGGGACAGCATACAGAGGGGAAATTGATGTTGGTTTGAAGTCAATGGACTACCTGTTGGGACAGGGTAGGTGACACCTCCTCCCACCACTGGCAGTCCTACTGGCATGGCTACGAATTTGTCCCTTTTATGCCAGAAGCCATGATCTCATATTTGTTAGGTATTGGAAGCAGTCAATGTCAAAAACACTCCTACAGTTTTGAGGACGCGAGAATATTATTCTACTGCTATGCTACAGCTAGTTATGCTGTGCTGCTCTCACTTACTACCTCCTGTGCCGCCACCTGCCAGACCCAGCCCGCCTCATCCGAGCGCCGTCTGGCATTGCTGGAGCGTGAGGGGCATGGCCTCCCCGTGAAGGTGGAGTATGTTGGCACCGCAGGCCAACAACCCTTCACTCTTCAATATGGCTGGTGCCCAGGGTCAGCGCAGGAGAAGTTGTGTGTTTTTTTCTGGTCCAAGAAGCTCAAACAAAAGCCAATTATTGCGCATACGACAAATTTAACAGTGCTCCCTGAAAGCAACGCTGCGATTCTATGGCAGATACGTTGGCAGATACACACCGTTGGATTGGGCAATGTCACGTTCACCAGGCAGGTTGGGAGTTTAGACACCGAGCCTGACTTAAGATAGAGCATAAATTCAACGTGTTTTTATTGTAACCAGGGAACTGATCCGTGAGGTTTGCATTTGCCTCCTTACTTTCAGTTTTTACAGCTGGTAAGAAATGGTCCAACAGGTCTGAGGGGGTTTTTGTCCTTTTCTAGGACAAACCCACTGCTCCCCCTCCACGGTCGGGGTGAAACTGCAGAGGCAGGCGCTGCTGGGGGAGAGCAGCGCAGGCGGCAGTATGGCAGCTTGTGGCGTTATGGTATGTAGCCCATACAACTGCAGAGAGGCAGATTGGCTGGCCCAGGCGGAGCCTCCTCTGCTGAGGTGCACTTCCACCGGCTCAGTCGAGTGGGGACCTGTAGGCTGGACCCACTCCTACGCTCGCCCCCGTCACTTGCCACCGTGGCCACAGTCCAGATGGACACTGCGTTACGCAGGCTGGAGATGAGGCTTTGTTCCTGCTGTCAGTACTGTGGAGCCCATTTTTCTGAGGAAGCAGCTTTCAGATATTTGGGGTCGTGCCAGTTTCTGATAATCCAGAAAATCCTGAATTTAAGCATGTTCCTTAAAATTAGAGTACTCTGCACCTTTCTGTCCCAGGCTTCAAATGCTGCCTAGAAGTAAGGGCACCTTATTTGGCAGAGGGCTTTTTAGGTTCTTGTGTGGTTTTTGTTTTAAAATATATTAATTTATTATAATGTAAAATCATCTGCCTGGAGGATGTGGGATGTTGTTGGACTACAACCAAGTATTGGCTTGTAGCCTTCTAAACCAGGGTGCTAAGAAATAAATCCCAAATAGAAATGGATGAACAGTTTATGTTCATCACTTCACCCCTCTTTCTAAGGGCTTTTCTAAAAACAGTTGATGTTTTGTAGATTTTTTCAGCATGTGAAATGTTGTATGCTGATGCTACAAACAGGGAAAGTTGTTTACTTAATTGCAAATTATTAGAAACGTCTTTTCACTCTTTGGGGGGCTTCAAGGTCTTCTAATTACATTGCATTATTCCTCCTCTCTGATTAGATGAGTAAAAAAATTAATACAAAAAAAGGACATCAATTATCACTAGTTTCTTAATACTGGTACTTGCATACATATGTAGCTTAATAGTAGTACTTTTATGTATAAAGGAATGACCACAGGATATGGGTAAGGAAAACATGCTAAAAGACAATTGTAAAATGACTAATTTGAGTTTTATGTAAGCAGTACATTTTTTGCCTTTCAAATGATTTTGAAGTGAACTTTCTACACTTTGCAGTCATTCCCGTATATTTCACCTTTCATTCTAGTGACAAATTGATACTGGTTTCCTGAGGTCTTGCAAAAAAATTAGTTAAAAAGTTCCCTAATAGGTGAGGATTTAAAGCTACATAGTTTTGGCTTTTTTCCTTCCATTGGTATTTTAGCAGGACGATGAACTGTTCTGAAGGAAGACTAGGATATTGGCTGTGACAGCTATGACCTCTCATATGCTCATTTACAGACTATTTTATCATGTTTGCTGAATTTTAATGACTTTTTTTGGTTCAGCTACTACCAAGTGAAATGTAGGTATGTATAACATCGTTACATTACTGATGATCAATTTGCATGCATCTCCTGATCAATGAGGTACTGTTGTGCTACCCCATTTGCAAACACAAAAACTAGACAAGCACTGATTTTTAACATCACAGAGTTTACAGTCCTACAGCATTTCTGCCATTGCTGGTATTTAAAGAAGCTTACTGCATCCACTGGCACTTCATTGACCTTAAACGAGCCTCCCATGGGAATACCAGTATTCTCATATTCTGCCAGTTGGGAGAAAAAGACAGAGGAAGAGACATAATATGCAAGCAAGATTGATGGACACAAACTAGCCCAAGCCAGTATTTGATGTATTTCACATTGATTGTTTCCCTTGTAAACTGAAACTGGACTAGAATGGTGCAAAGGAATAGCTAAAGGCATTAGCTTTGACATTAGTTGAATTGCAGAATGATCATATTTATGGTTACAGGAGCATCTTGTTTTTAATTGGAAGTTATCAGATGGAATTCACACTTCAGGGTTTGGAAGGATAATCACAGATCACAGACTACTGCATTGAAAGTGCTGATATTGTCTGAAAAATTCAGTGATTTCGACAATGAGCATCATTACTCTCTTCTTAACAGCACTCATTATGCTTGGGGAAAAGCTTGTCTAAATCCAGAAATCTGCCATGCTATGCTCCTGTATTTTCATCTTTACAATTAGTTTTTAACACAATGTCAGCAGAAGAATGCCACTTGACAATGACTAAGCAGAGGGAGAGGAGTCTATTTTTTACACAGTAAAACATACTTTTTTTCCCATTTCCTCACTTACCCACAATTTGTCTCTTTTCATCATCTGTTTTGTCTCCTTCCGTCATCTGTTTTGTCTCTTCAGAAAGCCAGGCTGTGACCTGTCTGTGGCAGGCACCCATTTTTCATTATCTGTGCAGGAAGGTACTATAATAAATAAATAATAAAAGATCTTTGTAGCTCCTCGACAATGAAACTTTTAGTGTTCTGTCTACAGATCATTTGCATCAGTCTAGAAACCCATGAAGAAACTACTACAGAGTTTATTCACGCTGAGTTCAAAATTTCCCCCACCGAACCCCCTGTTGTGGATTGTCTGGTGAAAAACCACACACAATTCCAAAAAATAAAAAGAAGGACTATCATCTTCTGATAACACTAATAGTAGCAACACAGTTACCTGCCTGTCTGATTGCCTCAGAAGGGATTTATAACTTTATGTTTGACTAAGTCAAAGATCTTAAAATTAAAATTGGTAATCAAAAATATTTTGATTGCCAGCTTTATCTCTTGAGATGTTACAAAAAGGCACTAAGTTCATATAATTAACAAACTAAATAAGTAAAACAGACAATTATGTAAGAAACCTTAGCTAAAACAGACTTCAGAAGGATTTGACAGATTACAGGCTGCTAACACTGTCATAATCACTATTAAAATCTGTAATCTCATTAACATCAAAGAACTGGAACCAAACCGAACAAAACTGAAAAATTATTAAAAATAAGATAATTTTTTTTTAATACAGCCTCCAGTACTGTTGTGAAATATAAGAGGGAATAAAGGACAACAAGAACATTTCAGAAGAGGTTGATGAAATAAAAGCTGTGATGAATTATCTCCAGCCTTCCTTTCCAGCACTTACAATTGAAGATCTTACATCTACTCCAAACTAATGTTTATTAAGAGTGCTCTGTCATGTGGGACACGGGTGTATCCAAATGTTGCATAACAGTAATAAAACCAGAGGAGACTGAATGGCGGAGCTCATAATTTTCTCCACTGTTAAAAATCCTGCGTATGTGTTCAATGATTTTTTACATCAAATGACTATTCTAGTACATTCTTGTTTACATCAAAATTCCCTCATAGGTTAGAAGCACCAAATCAGTATCTTTGTACTTTTGCTTTTATCTGGGGATATAAGGAGTTGGTGAGCTTAGCTAGACTATATACCTCAGTTACTGTTGTTTTTGCAGACAAAATTGCAAGATTTTTGATGAATAAAACACCATTAGGTGGTTTTGTGCTCTTTTGTCACCCATTACATTTTTACAAGATTTTGAAGCTTCAATATTCATGTAGTCTTAAAAAAACCTCAAACAAACAAAAAAAAGGGGAGAACTTTCTATTTGATATAAGCAGTTAGTATCTATCAGCAAGTATGTTTCTAAGTAGGGAAAAAATCCCAACAACTGACCTGCTCACAGCAGCTAACTGATTTTTAAAGAATGTAACTACTTCTTAGATTGCAAATCCGATTATTTAACATTTTATTGAAAAATTAAATCAAAATGTTATGTGAGATGTTATTGAAGAAAACAGAGTCCAGGTCTCTGATCTTCCAACATTTGCTGAAGATGGGATCTGGTTGTGAAAAAGAATATGAGAACTCTATAACAGAGACAAAATAACTCATTTCATATAGATGGCATGCTTCAGATTAAGACTGAGGCAGTGTCAGAGAGGTCATAGAGAAGAAATACACATTTTATATTCACAGCAGAAATGCAACAGTGAGGTGATTACAAACAAGACAGGAACATTTTCATACATTTAATTATGACTGCTACTGCAGAGATGTTAACTTTCTAGTCGCTCATCTGTTTACACTTTTAAAAATCAAACTCATGCAAAGGTTAAGCAGAGAGAGGGATAAGAAGGTTTCATGGGACAACCCAACTGCGACCTTTGATCAATCATTTCAGAGGATCTTCAGATTCTAGGGTACAAATGGTAGAAAAGCTGCAAAAGCAATACAGTCAGAGAGTAAGTTAACAGGATGTTATGGGGTGTGTTAGCAAACCCTGCTCTTAGATTTAGAAGAAGGACCGACACCTGACTACTGCAGACAAAATGAGACTAGGAAGCAACCCATTATATACAATGTTCTGCCTTAAAAACAGTCCTAAGTTTTCATCTGAGTTAGCTATCAGAATTACAGGTGCTACCAAAGTTGCCTTCATTGACAGTTTTTCATTAATCTTCTCTTTACAACTATCTGCAGAATACATGGCTGTATGTATAGGGATGTAAATTAGAGCAACAAAAATGGGACTCTTGGTCTGCTAGGACACACAGAAGCTCGTCCTTTCATAGGTGCAAAAGGGAAAAACCAGATTCCAAATACCAGGAGGTTTGGTCACGTGAACACATGGTGGTAAGCTTTCTAACCCCAATACCATATGACAATAACTGAGGATTGGTGTGGCTTTGCTCCAAATCAGGGAGGTGATAATTGCTCTCACTCATGCCACCATGTAGGCTCTCTTGCATTGTGACCCACAGGAAGACCAATACTATCCTTCCTTCCCTGAGTCTGTCTAGATCATGTATCAATGCTTCTGGATCAGCTATAGCATCTGAAATTACAGGCACTGTCTTTTCCCTCAGGCAATGGAAGGTTTATGTTCATTAACACAGTTCTGCTGTGTTCAATCCCTGTAGCAGGGTACTACTACACTACAGCTGCTACAGCTGTATCCTCCAGTAACACACTGGGCAATATCAACAGTGACTCTTTGAAAACAATTAGGAAACGTTTTGGAGCAGTGGCCACTGTGCCCACAATCATGGTAAAGTGAGTTGGTCTATCTTGGGTTCTGTTGCTGTTAGTCTGATGGAAAGAGAGAAACAGAGAAAGAGAGAGAGAAAAAGAGAGGAAGAGAGAGAGAAACAGAAAGAGAGAGAGAGAGAAAGTGACAGGAAAGGAAAGGAAGAAAGGAAGAAAAGAAAGAAAAGAAAGGAATGAAAGGAAAGAAAGAAAAGAAAGAAAGAAAAGAAAGAAAGAAAGAAAGAAAGAAAGAAAGAAAGAAAGAAAGAAAGAAAAAGAAAGAAAGAAAAAGAAAGAAAGAAAGAATAAATAATTAATGAACAAAATGGGTCCCATATTTGGATGTATTAAATGCAAAGCATGCATTTTTTAAAAAATTGAACTGGACACTATTCAGGAATTGTGCTACCATTTTGACATGCCATGTGGACTCCAGTGTAAAAAAAGAGAAAAAAATAATAATGCATATGTGTGGTAATAATCTGCACATGACTGGTTGCTGTAATGTGCACTGCTGTACTGCCAGCAGGGAAGTGAGTGATTGCCTCTCGCCTACACAATGGGCACTGGCTTTGCCTCGCATGATTTTTCAGCAGGAGAACAAATAAGAGGGGAAGAAATAAGGAATGAAAACCACTGCCTGACTCCACCATCTCCCAGCCCTTGAGACTTGATTAAGTAGCCAATAAGTTTTTTGCTTTTTAAAAATTTTAGGTGGTTTGCTGTGCCCGGGGAACTTGCTGAGCAAGAGATGAAAGAAAACTATCTGCCTTTTGCTTTGACCTCTGTGTCTTTTAGCCTAGGTGGTGAGACACGTGCTACAGGAGCTGTGCTCATCAGGAAAGTTTTTATTTGTTTTGCCAGTCTGGTGGCTCATCCGGAGCAGTTTGATATTCAAATGAATCTGTCAGAAACAAGAGTGTGGTGCTTCAGTTCTTGCTCAGGCCTGATGACATTGATTTGTGAGCATACTGCTTGACTACGGGATGTGTGACAGATAAATTTTATCAAAATTAAGGCACAATTAAACATTTCATCTTCCTAATTACTGGCTGTAGATTCAGCCTGATGACCATGTGCTGTAAGAAATCAGCGACCATTACACATTTTAATGGAGCACAGCTGTCTTACAGCTTGGTAATATTTGCACAGTGCCACAGAACTGTAATTTATGATAAAAAGAAAAAATGTGTATTGGCTCTTTTTTGCCAAAATAGATTAAGGATTCATATACTTTAATGAGATTTGGACCTAGCCTTGGATTATCGTTATAAATGATTTATGTGCATGTTGGTGGACTCCTGTAGTTTTGAGTTGATTTGTGTTTTGGTCGACCAATATGTAATTCAGTATTTCCTTGTGTGCCAGTGTTTTCATTCTTTCCTCTCTCTCCATTTCAGTTCTATTTGTCCACCATAACTTACCAAGAAGGGCAAGTGGGAAGGTTAAGAAAGAATCGAGGTATGTTTTCCAGGAGACCCCCTCACAGCAAAATTCACTCCTGAAACCCCTCCCCTGCTCTCCTGCTCTGCACCCTGAGCACAGAGAGAACAGGGGGGAGGGAGGTGAGGGGAAGTGGGTGTCACCAGCCTGGATCTGGGTCACTCCTGCAGCCTGGAAAGCAGGACATGGGGGAACAGATGCTACCTGAAACCCTGCTCAGGCTGAGACCTGCCTGAACATTGCTGTATCTCAAGGCAAAATACCAAAAACCTTTCTCCTGCTTGTTTAAAACATGACCTACAAAAGGGTGTTTGCTCACCCACTTGATATTTTTCTGTTCCAATCAGTTTTTCCAGAAACTGTGCTGCTTCTCTAAAGAAAAAGAAAATCCAGCAATGTATGTACTCAAGTTACAATTTTTGGAACTGCCTTTCTTCTCCATTCTTTTCTTCACTAGGTTTCTTCCACAGATTATTTAGAGAGTGTGCAGAGCAGGGGAAATAATGAAGTTTAAATTAGGTGTTTTATACATACACGTATATTCATACTTATAAGCACACAGACACACATAATGGCTGTGTTTGTATTTGTGCATGTTTTATTTTTACATCAATCTTAGCGAATCAAATTTGTACTTAGTTTAACTACCTAGGTTTGCAAGGAGTCAAACTGAAGTCCAGAGTTTGACCCCATATGTTGCAAAGCCCTGAGATCCATATGCATAGATGAAAAGAGAAACTAAATTCTAATTTTCATAATAAAAAAAAAAAAATCCTGTCCAAGCTTGATTTACTTCAGTGTTCATATGCTGGAATGTTTCATACTGTACCAGGTTGCATATGCTTGCACACTAATTCTCAATTGCCGTATGCAGTTTGTGACAACCATCTGCTAAGACCTCCCTTAGAGTTCTTTCTCCCACTCAGCCCAG